ATGATAAACATTATCAGTTTTACTTTGGTGAGACCTTAGTGAAGCAAAAATAGTCAACTTTTGGATCCGTAATCCAGTCAATGCTGTATATTTTACCATAACTAGAGTCATCTAAAGCTCGATTTTTCAAAAATTGTTAGAATTCCTTTGAAAAAACCCCCAAAATTCTAAGGTTTTAACACAGAAGTAGTTTTATTGTGTCCATTGTGTATAATTCGAGACTACCTCAGCAACAACAATTTACATTTTATTATGATTGTTACCAAAAACTATTGTTACTAATCTCATCCACACAAAAACGTGTAAAAATATGCTCAGCGTAGCGCTAGGCGCTAATTATGCAGCGTACACGGCAATTTTTCTCTCCTCATTTGCATGACTACACTTCTCGATGTGTCTTGGGTTTACTACTCTTTTTTTTCGCTTGCACGCAGCAGCTTTTAATTGCTCTGAATTTCTCCGCTAGAAGTTGCTATACTGACGACAAGCATTCTAGTCTAAAAATCTCAAGGGACAACCTAATTGCTAAATTGGTTCAATCCCAACTCAAGAACGGAGAGCCGTAGGAATGGGGAATAACAACTTTGGATGTTCAGGGTTTTCAGGATCTTTACCTCTGATGTTTTTCTTGAATCCGTGGAAGTTACACAGAAGGGATTTCAAGGAGAAGTTCGCACTTGGTCCTTTTATATCCCAAGTCATACACAAACAAAGAAAACTAGAAAATAATCAAAGAGAAGTACAACTTATTTTTAGTCTTCGCTTTTAGTCAGGTTATGGATTTAAGAAAATGTTCAATCTTCTCTGGGTTTAAATATTTTTCTTGTAGAAATCGTGAAATACCTAGATATTATTTGTAAGAACCTTCCAAATATTTCGACGCTCAATTAATTGTTTATAATTTATCCCATTCTAAAAATTTCATGCATCTTATGTATGATCTTGAATTCTAGATTTTCCCTTTCTTTATGGAATTGCAAGCTTAAGAACAGAATTTTTGCACTTATAGAACGTCTTATTTGACGTACTCATCGATTTATATATTTTTCGTTCCTGATCCTTTTACATTTTCATCGCCGATTGAGATGATTGAGATGTAGAATCACTTCCTCATTCTTTCATCACATTTTCTTCAAGAATCGACGCCATACCCTGATTTTTTAATCTATTCATTCTCCTGCTTTTCGTCCTTCGATTATTTCCTTTGACTGATTTTTTGAGGTCTAATTTTTCCAAAACAGATGAGTGACCGTGTCCGACGTCGCCGAAGCCGAGAACTTCGGGTTCCTCGTCAGGACGGTGGTCTCTCACCAGCTTCCCGACTTCGCATTGCTGCTGATGTCCATCGCCATTCCACCAGTGACGACGATTCTGGTTGTGTTCTTGAAGAATACGCATGGATACCTAGTGGATTGAAGCCTAATATGGTTTGCGTCGATTTTTGGGGAAAGATGTGGCCCAAAAAATATCAAAAATTCCAGGTCCACATGTACTTTGCATCGTTACCCGAGGAGAAAGTCCCCTATGTGAATAGTGTGGGCGAAAAGTGGCGGTTGCGACAACTACGGCACCAACTCCCACCACAAGACTCGGACCCTCGTTATTGCTCTCGCCTAACTCGAGAAGAAGAAGATGAACTAAGGTAACGAAAGTGGTCCCCATCCTCCCAAATTACTCAATCTCATCTTCTCAGGCTCTTCGAACGCCGTCGCAAAGCTGAATGTCTCGGACGAGGTTCGGTGGATCGAGTGCCTTACGATGGTCGAGTTAGAAATTGTGGGAGCGTGAGTTTTACCCCCTGCTGGGCCAATTCCCATGTCACATTTGATTCCTCGATACCGTTTTCGATGAGTGCGCACTATAACGAGTCGTAAACGAACCGGCCCTATTTTCGCTTTAGCTGGAGAGCGTAAATCGCGGGAATCTTTGAGCAAATGCGCGGGGAAGAGGAGAGGGGGAGAATGGAATGGAATGGGTGGGAAAACCAACATTTCGAGCACTTTTATGAAAATCTGGTCTTAGTCCAGTTCAAGATTACGGTATCATATCGATTTTTAAAGGACTCATGGAAAGTGACTGCAACTGCAACTGCAACTGCAACTGCAACAGCAACAG